CCAAATTGACAGTGTTGAACGACTTGATATCAAAGACTACACAATTATTATGAAACAGTGTTTGAAGTACAAAGGAGGCTGATGGCCCATCATTGCTGACATTTCGATCTTCAATCAATGGATTCTAGGCTTAAATTAAACTTACCAATCAATATATCAACCATCCAATTGAAAACTTCAAACCCACAACTGCAATCCACTTATGGTTGCATTTCCTTTTCTCACCCACAAAGGGACAATAATATGGTGCTATTTTGCAAGCCACAAAGGCAAAGAGAAGACAAGAAGAGCAAATGATACGACCCATCCTGAATCATCCAAGTGGAGCCGACGTGACGTGCGCCAATGATAGATGCCGACTAGATGTCAAATCTCTCACTAAGGTTGACTATGAGTTTCTTCAAAAATGCACCAAAATCAAATGCATGTGTAAAAGATAATGCGATGGGTCAAAATTATTTACTTCGTGCTTCATCAATATGAGTTATAACACTTAATATGTCGCGTGGCTCTCATTCCAAAATCATTAGGCTCTTCCAACTAAAAAAAATCAATTGCTACCTGTAGGAAAGTTACGGAAAAATATATGAGTTGATAGCTCAGTGAGCGGAAAAGTTCGAAAATAGTGTTATACTTTTTTAATTTTACATTTTTATCGAAAATCGAGTTTATATCATTGAATAACTTTTCACACACTCAACATGCCGTGTGACTATAAGTATTTGTGTTCGTGTTTGGGAGGTGGGTGGGTCAAATCTTGGTGGAGGCTCAAGGGTTCCATCTACATGACCGAGTAGTGCTTGACTCTCAAGAAAAGAGAGCAGTTGGCTTTCCCACAGGAGGTAGTTTGAGGAGGAGAGTTTAACTGTTACCATGTGGAATATGGTGTTGAAAGAGAAGAGTGTGGATTCGACAGCCGTGATGAGATTTAAGGATAATGGATGTTAATCCAAGAATGGCTCTGATACCATGAAAATCTTTGAAGAATAAATCACCACATCGCTCTTAGTAATAGTGATTATGTCTATTTATATAGATGTAAAAGGTGCTTACAAATCAATCAAGAACCAAAGTAGAACTTGCATTAGAGTCAGTTACCCGCACATACTCGTCGACTAGATCAGTACAAATAATACACAAGTCAGATCTAGATGTAGTAATGGAAGGAGAATGATGGTCAAGGGGAGATGGTTTTGCATGGGATGAGCTGGGCTCCCAAAAATTGGAAAATTGGAGAGATGAAATAGGTTGAGCATGAGATGTTTCTAAAGAAGGAAAGTGATATTTATCAAACTGTGCATGTCGAGTGATGTATAGTCTAGACGTTGTGGAATCGAGGCAACGAAACCCTTTACAGGCTGGACTATATCCCAAAAAATGCATGGGATGCTGTGAGGGGAAAATTTGTCAGACATGAAATCTCGCAAACAAGGATAAACACGACAACGAAAGGGATGGAAATTTTCATTATTTGGAGGTAAACCATAAAGAAGCTCAAAAGGGGACTTACTTCCAAGAAGTGGTGTGGGCAAGCGACTGATGATGAAGACTGCAGTGCTAAAGGCGTCAACCCAAAAGCGTGGAGAAAGATGAGAGTGAAAAAGAAAAGCAAGGCCACTCTTAGTCACATGACGACGTTTCCTTTTGGCACGACCATTTGAGTAGGTGTGTATGAGCAAGATCGTTGATGATGGATGCCAGAGTTATGAAGGTATGACCGGAGACGATTGCTAGTAAATTCTCTGCCACCATCACTTTGAAAAGTTTTATGCTTGCAGAATGCTGATTTTCCAACAAATTTTTGAAATTGAAGAAAAATATTGTAAAAATTAGATTTTGAAAGCAAAGGGTATAGCCAAGTGAAACGAGAAAAATCACCGACAAATACAACATAGTATACAAAATCTGAAGTGGATTTAACGGGGGATGGGCCCCATATGTGATAATGAATTAAATCCAACACATTAGATGATCATTATCCATTATGGAATAAGGCAAACGATGATTTTTTTGCAATCTGACATGTGCTACAAAGTGTTGGAGAAGGCAATAAAGATGTAAAATAAAGATGACCTTTTTTATTTAAAAGAGAAATAATGGAATGATTCACATGTCCAAGGCGAGCATGCCATAAATCATACAATGCATGCTATTACTAAGAACAAAAATAAAGGTGGGGTTTCCACGCTCCAGTACATATAATCCACCATCTCGTTTACCGGTTGCCACCCCCTCTCCCGTATGACAATTCTGAACAGTAAAAGAATTATTAGTGAAAGTGACAGACAAAGGAAAATCAGAAGTTAATTTACTAATGGATACAAGATTTTTAGTTAAATGAGGGACAACTAAAACATCAAGTAAATGAAGATTTTGATTGGGAGAGACAGTACCAGTGTGTCTTATAGGTAGGGAAGCACCATTTCCTACAATTACACAATCCTTACCAATGTAATTACTTGAGCGATCCAAAATAGATGGATTGGTACTCATGTGGGCCCAAGCCCCAATGTCCAAATACCGATCTGAGGCCTCATTTTCAGATATAGAGCATGATTTATTGAATGCCTTGACGAGATGAGCAGAGTTTTCTAGTCGAGAATACCTTTGGTCACAACGGTCAGCGTAGTGTCCTTTGGTCCGACAAACCTGATATCGCAGGGGGTGACGTTATTGGCCAGAGAAGTTTCATCTGTTGCCACGATTAGAGCAGGCTTGATTGTTGTTGCGTCCGGGATTGGTGCGTGAGAGCTGGCCCTCACATGATTAACAGTGCGATTCGTGGCAGTGAACGCTGCTGTAGGTGGACTTGTAGATTCAAGAGATTTTTGGAACAATTCAAACCTTTCAACTTTGGACACGAGGTCACTGAAGTAGGGAAGAGGAGTGACTGCCATCTATGCAATTGAGAATGACAAGAAATCAGCACCAAGAATTCGAAGAAACCAATGGACTTTGTCCGTCTCATCAACTGGTCGTCCAACGGCATGTAGCTAGTCGCAAAGTGCCTTAAAGGCACGAGTACCTCATCAATTGGAGATCATCTTTGAGGCGAATCTCGCGAGCTTTGGAGTGGTGGCTGAAGGTGTTTTCCAAGGCAACCTAGACTCGCGTGAGGTGGAGAGGTTGACGACCTCAGCCATGGCCTCCTTGGTGAGGGAGGACAGAAGAAGGCTGAGAAGCTTCTGATCTGTTGTTTTCCAATCTAAGTATTTGGTGTTCGGTGTTTGGGAGGTGGGTGGGTCAAATCTTGGTGGAGGGTCAAGGGTTCCATCTACATGACCGAGTAGTGCTTGACTCTCAAGAAGAGGGAGCAGTTGGTTTTTCCACAGGAGGTAGTTTGAGGAGGAAAGTTTAATTGTTACCATGTGGATCATGGTGTTGAAAGAGGAGTGTGGATTCGACAGCCATGATGAGATTGAAGGATCAATGGATGTTAATCCAAGAATGGCTCCGATACCATGAAAATCTTTGAAGAATAAATCACCACACTGCTCTTAGTGATGATGAGTATGTCTATTTATATAGATGTACAAGGTGCTTTAAAATCAATCAAGAATATTTACAGCTTAATTACAATGAAATTGATGGAAAGAATATCCCATAATTGAGCTAGATTAAAATATAATTAGGCTATAATAGTGTGGTCAAATCTGTTACAGGAATTATGCCTTAGATTGGACCAAAGTATCCAAGAACTGCTGATTCAGTGTTGCAGTGTCTGAATATAACAATTTGTAATAATGATAAATTAATGTTCATATAGACTCTCAATATCTCAAATTTCGGCATCAGTTTCTTATAAATATGTTGACACCAGTGCTTAACATTATTATTTTTAAGGTGTCAACCATTTTGTTGGAGTATAAAAACATGAAAAAAAAGTGATGTTAACAGAGAAAATAGATAGATAAATAAAACTATTGCCAACTAATCCAGCAACGTTACCTAAGCTGACCGAAGAATATTATATTCTTTGGGTATATTAAAGAAAATTAAGCTATATTTGTCCAAACTTTAGTTATGAATTCTTCCATCCATGATCGTGCATTTGAATTGGCTCCACCTATCATCAATATGCTTTAATTAATTTTATCAAGTTGTATAATGATAGCCAGAGCAGTGGCAATAACTTTCTACTCAAGTGATTAAGAAGACCTCTCTTGCTTTCACCTCTCTAATCCTTTCTTAGAAAAAAATATAAAAATTGTTGTGGTCAAAGTCTTTCTTGGTCCATTTGTCACAGTTTTGCTTGATAAGCTAGCCTCTGGTGAGCTTCTAAAATTTCTATGTCGCATAGGAATTGATGCCCACATGAAAGAAGGGCTTACAACATTGTTGATGATCACATCTATACTTAGTGATGCCAAAAACAAGCAAACAACAAATGAAACTGTGAAAGAATGGCTGAATGAATCAGAGAATTTGGCTTATGATCTTGATGACTTGGTGGATGAGTTGAACACTGAAGCTTTGCAGCGAAGATTAGTTGGAACTGAAAGCAGAAACAGTAAGGTACAGAAGCTTCTCCTCACATGCTGTACTGATTTCTCTTTTAGCGATTTTTTGTTTGACTGCGGGATTGCTTCAAACTACAAGATACTAATGACCAATTTGAAATTCTAGTCAAGAAGATTAGTATGTGACTTCACTTGTGGTTGAATCTGATGTACATGGAAGAGAAGAGGACAGAGGAAAAATAAGTGAGATGTTGGGGGCTGAATCAAGTGAGAGTCCAGTATCTGTGATTCTCGTTGTGGGCATAGGAGGCGTGGGGAAAACAACACTAGTCCAGTTAGTATACAAAGATGAAAGAGTAAATGAGGAGTTTGATCTGAAGGCATAGGCTTGTATTTCTGATGAATTCGATGCTTGTAGGGTAACAAAAATCATTCTTGAGGCAGTTTCAGGTGGAAGGTGTGACTATGAAGATTTTAACATGCTTCAGGTCAAACTAAAGGAAAATCTTTTAAACAAGAGATTTCTAATAGTTTTAGATGATGTCTGGAATGAAAATTTTGGAGATTGGGACATTCTACCGTCCTTTCCTTTATGGCAAACCTAGAAGCAAAATCATTGTTACTAGTCGACGTCAAAGGGTGGCCAAAATCTTGTCGTCAATTTCAGTTCATCATGTGACTGTGTTATCAGACGAAAATGCTTTATCATTGTTAGCTCATCATGCATTAGGAACAAAGAATTTTGATGTACAACAATTTCTATATGAGATAGGTGAATACTTGGTGAAAAGATGTAAAAACTTGCCACTAGCAGTAAAGGCTGTTGGAGGAATCCTTCGGACAAAAGTTAATCCTAAAGACTTGGAAGATGTATTGAATAATGATATTTGGATAAATGGAGAAAATAATGAAATCCTTCCTTCTTTAAAACTCAGTTACCAATATCTTCCTCCATAACTGAAATGATGTTTTGCTTATTGTGCTATCTTTCCCATGGACTATGAATTCAACAAGTCCAAGCTGTTGTATCTATGGATGGCTGAAGGTTTTCTGCATCATTCACACCAAGAGAGGTTAATTTAGGAATTAGGAAGTGATTGTTTTGATGAACTATTAGCGAGATCATTCTTCATGTTTTGTGTTGCATGACTTCCTTATGATTTAGCTAATAGCATCGCTGGAGATAAATGTTTGATGTTGGATAATAAGCTGAAGGAAAATCTTCAAAATAATATTTCTGCAAAGGTCCGTGACTTGTCGTTCATTCGCCATTTCTTTGGGTCCCACCAAAAATTTTACCTGGTCAACAAATTTTGAAGTTTAAGAACTTTTTTGCCACTACCCATGAACAAGTACTTTGGTCAAAATTTCATGTCCCAAAGAGTTTTGCTCGACCTATTACCAAAGTTGTGCTGCTTAAGAGTGCTATCATTAAGTGGTTAGGATTCAATATATGAGCTTCCAAGTGCTATTAGCAACCTCAGACATTTACGATAGCTTAACTTAACTAGGACTTCGCTCAAACGGTTGCCTGAGTCCCTGATCACTCTTGTCAACTTACAATTGTTGATACTAAGGAACTGTTACGCACTAATCAGATTACCGCCAGGGATAGAAAAATCTTATCAATCCTATCAAGTCTACAGACATTATCCAAGCTGATTGTCAGTAAAAGTAGTGGGTTGAAATTAAAAGATTTGGGGAAACTCTCACTTCTACAAGGAGAAATTTATATAATGGAATTGCAAAATGTTGTGAATGTTCAAGAAGTGATAGATGCGAGACTAATGCATAAACCAAGTCTTAACAAAATAAGGTTGGCATGGAGCAACAACTTAGATAATTCTCGAAATGAAATGCTGGAAGCAGAAGTGCCTAACTCTCTAAAACCCCAAGAGAATTTATCAAGTCTTGAAATTGATTTTTATGGTGGTGCAAAGTTATAGAGTTGGAATGGAGATTTGTCATTCTCCAAGTTAGCAAAAGTAAGAATCAACTTTTGTAAAAACTGCATGAGTTTGCCACATTAGGGCATCTACCCTTGTTAAGAGAATTGAGCATTCAAGGCATGAATCGAGTAAAAGTGGTTGGAGTTGAATTTTATGCAGTGAAAAATTATCATTTCAATCGCTAGAAAACTCTGCATTTTGAAGACATGCCAGAATGGGAGGAGTGGCATGGATTATCGCTTGAAGATGAAGTGGTAGTTAAATTTCCAAAGTTGTGTGAATTGTTCATAAGAAGATGTCCTAGATTGGTCAAGCTTCCAATTCTTTTGGTTCCATCTACTTTCGAAGTAAAAGTAGAAGTGTAATGAGGTGGTGCTAAATTGCATGCACAATTTGACCTCCCTAACCTTGGAGAACGTTTTTGGATTAACTTCAGTCTTGAAAGCATTTGAGGAGTTAAACTTGAAAATTTAGAAATTGATCACTGTGAGGACCTTGCGACTCTTGTGGCCAAACGATAATATTTCACGACGACTAGACAACCTACGGAAACTAGTTGTAAAAAGGTTCCCTCAGCTCTTGTCCTTCCAAGAAATTGGTGCTCTTCCTATTGTTACATCCCTTAGTATTGATTCTTTATAGTTATTGCCTAAGAGTATATCTCCTCTAACAATATTGGCCATCCAAAATTGCTGGTTGTTGAAGATGGTAGAGTTAGAGGAATGCAGAACTCCTCTTGGATCTATTATTATCAATTGGGGGAACTTAAATATGACAAATTTACTGGGGTCTAGTCATAATTGCTCAAGTTTTATTTTCCTCAATACATATTCGTGTGATGATCTGGAAGCATTTCCCCTCGGAGGCTTGCCAACATCAAATTTGAGACATCTTCATGTAACTGATTGCCAACGTCCAATGGCCTTACCCTACCAGATGGAATTACTATCATCTCTTAAATCCCTGTGGGTGGAGAATTGTACTTCATTAGTAGAGCCCTTGCCACAGGGGAACATTCCCTCCAATCTGACCTCCCTTGCAATCATCAACTGCAGGAAACTTAAGCCTCCGACAGAGTGGGACTTACACAAACTCACCTCACTATATGAATTTGTGGTCAGTGGGGGATATCCAGGACTGGTTTCCTTCTCAAACAATGATGAGGAACACAATTTTTTTCCTTCATCTCTAACTCAATTGTGATTGAGTGACCTTCCGAGACTGGAAATCTTATCGAAGGGATTCCAAAACCTCACATTCTTCGACATTTATCCATCTCAAAATGCCCAAATCTCGGGGCATTGCCTATGGACAACCAGGTCGACAACCTTTGGAGCCTTTGGATCGATGACTGCTCACTTATTAAGAAATGTTGTTTGAAGTACAAAGGTGATTACTGGACCAAGATTATCGACACTCCTGAGGTTCTAATGATGGGCATTCCATCCGTTAACCAGCGACAGCCTTATCTAAAAAGATTCCATCAGGTAACAGATTCAATTTTGCTATCTACCAATCTCATCTTCTCTAATGCAAAACAATTTTCTAGAATCCATTACACTACTAAAATTTAGCTTTTCGCCTACAGAAAAGTACTAACGGATGCAATCCGTTAGTAATTAGAAACAAATTATCTGTTGGTAAAAGTTATTCACTTTCAGCTACGATAATTAACAACGAAATTTTCGTTGGTAATAATGATATCTCTTTATCAACGAATATTCTGTGCCTCATGTAACCGTTTAATATTTAGATATTTCACCTACGGAATATCCATAGGTGATGTACCGAATATTACCAACGGATGCAATTCGTTGGTAATTAAAAACGGATTATCTGTTGGTAAAAGTTATTCACATTCAACTAAGATTGGAAATGATAATATCTTTTTACCAACGGATATTGCGTATCTCATGTAATCGTTTAACATTTGGACCTTTCACCTACGGATTTCGGTTGCCTAAAGGTTAAAAAAATTAGAATTATTAAATAAATAAATAAATAATAATAATAATAATAATAATAATAATAATAATAATATTTTTTTTTTATCATGCCTCACACCTATGCGGCTATTTACAACATTAATTTTTATCAATTATAATGGTAGACATTTACAAACAGAAAGTCGGTGGTATTGGTTAAGATTTTTACCAACAGAAATTTCGCTGGTAAAAGATTCACACTTTACCAACGAAAAATTCATTGGTAAAATTTTACTCTTTACTTACAGTAGGATCCATTGGTAACTATTAGCTACTCTCAAATTAGGAACGGATTTGCGGCTGCTTTCATTGTTAAAGAATAATAGCAACGGATATCGAGGTTTCAAGAACGAAAAATTCGTGCATGAAACTATGGTTTTTAGTAGTGATTATTAATCTCACATCACGAACTCACCTCATAATGACTTGCTGACATTTCCCAGGTCCACGTTGCCGAGATTCTATCTATGAACAAGTTGCCACCATGGATTCATTCCACTACCTAACTATGTCAACATCACTTCATTTGGTAGCAACGAATTGGGGCCTCATATATTGGAACTGGAATCATGTCATTTTATTTGAATATATTCTTTTCTGGAAAATGCAGTGTCAATGGCAGTTCTTGTGTCAAGCTGCCAATTCTTTTAATTAAATTTTTTTTTTGGGAAAATAAGTTTTGGAATAGTCTTTTTTCAAGAATGTGTGGTTAAAAAATAGAAAAAGTTTTAAGTTTACGTGCAAAATCTTTTATTATATGAATATGTGGTTGAAAATGAGTGTAAAGAAAAAAAAAGAATTTTGATTCAATAGATGTCAAATAGGAGCTTAAATACTACTGTTTTCGTTGTAACTTCTGCATTTTAGAAACTAATACATAGCAGTTATTTTAATAACCTTTGTAAAAGGTGGATAGCTATTCCATCATAGACAACGATTTTTATTAAAGCCTAACCGCGACATGGACCACGGTTTTTGTTATACCATTGTGGAAAAAAAATTAAAGCTATTGTCAAACATGCTGTCCGTATTTCATGTATCTGTCTCACAATTCATCTATTTCCTCTCAATTTTTTAATGATTCCCACCAAAATTTGAAGACAAAGAAACCCTTCTATCTATGTTTTTTTTTTTCATTCTTTCATCCTCCATCCTCTTTCATTTGGGTTGGCACTAAATCCATTAAACTTAAATTTCTCCGTTGGTCCACTCGTGGGTTTTTTTGTAGGCTTGCAGTTGAGTGTGTTTGCTTAGATTCTACTGCCGCGCCATCTTACAAGATTCGTCTTCCCATGGAGTTTGCTGGCGTTTACGGTGGGTTTATCTTCTGTGGTTCTGGAGTTGCTGTGCTCATGGCTAATTTGCCGTGGGTCTGCTTGAGTTTGTTGGTTGGGTTTACCATGGGTTTGCCTCGACTCTCATGCATTGTCATCTTACAAGGTTATCTTCCAATGGCTCCAGCATTTCCAAATAGTTCATGTTCTTAAAATGTGCAGTCCATAACTTAATACATGTTATGCTATTAGTAGAAATCAATGTGACATGCCGATGTCTATTTGCTCTAGTGGTAAGGACATTGGCATTGCTGGCTGAGGTTCCGTGTTCGAGTCCTCTTACCAGCATGGTGGTACTGTGCCTCTCCAAAAAATCCCTCCATACGTGTAGGGCCAAGCGGTGTATACTAACGCGTAGGGCCAGGCCGGAGGTGGGGTTTCTGGAGTATGGGGCCGCAGTGCGGTGGGGCCAGGCACTTTAAAAAGTTTACCCTACACAGTTTTGCCCCCCAGGGCACTTCTCCACTGGCAAAGGACGGACGCTGTCAAACCTGGCAGAGCAGAGGTCGTGAGTTCGAAACATGGGGCTCTTGGAAGGCAATGATTTATTCTTGGAAGGCAAGGGAACATTTGGAAGGCAAGGATTTATTCTTGGAAGGCAAGTGGGAACTTGGAAGGCAAGGATTATTCTTGGAAGGCAAGGTGCAACTTGGATTGGCTTGCTTGGCACTTTGTCAGACCAGGTGGGGAGCGCTCGGACCCTGGCCAGTCGGAGGCACATCCTGCGATTAACCGGACTGTGTGAAGAGGGGCCGGATCACAGACCCAAGGATTAGTCAAGAATTGGACACCTTGTAAAAAAAAAAAAAAAAAAAGAAATCAATGTGACATTTATTTTTTTGTTAATACTAGTCCTTGACATGTGCGTCACACGAGTTTTGTATTTATTGTATTTTTATTAGCATCAAAATTGTAGATTTTTTACTCATAAGTAACTTCTTACATTTTACAAATATTTTTTGTCTGTATTTTTATTTGTTAATAATTTCTTACATAAAAGTGATTGTTGGAAATAAAATAGTGATAGCAAAAAATATCAACAAATAAAAATATTACTAAGAAATAAATTCAAAGAAAAAATTAGTCTTAATGCTTGGAAGTCTCAATCCTCCGTAATACGGAGGCTTGATCTCATGGTGAGATCAAGTTTCCATAATAAATATGGAGAGATTCCTTTGATATATTTTTTTATTTAAATGATATTTATTTATAGATCATCTATTTAACATATAAGTTAATATTTAATTTTAAAAATTAAATATATCTAAATATTTACTTCAAATTTTTAAGTTAATATATTGTTAAGTTACAAGTAATTTTTACAATTATAAGTTTTTTTTTTACTTTTAAATAACTTAAAGCGAATTTTTTTTTACATATATTTATGGAATTCACACTTTTGCTCTTGAATTAACCCCCTCAATTAATTATTATTTAAACGGTTCGTAAACATTTTGATTGATATTATTTTTTGGTCATCCAAATGGTTACTATATATCTTTTACGTACATATATAAAAATAATGTTTTTATTTATTAACAAATAAATATATTTATTTTTCGAAAAATGAGTTTTTATTATCATTTCATTTTTATCATGAAATAATTCTAATCTTAATATGTTAGATTGTGCTTCAAATTTACATAATGTATCAAATCTAATTTTTAAAATTAATTTT